AACACTTGCATTTAATGTTGATCCCGAACGACGCATCAGGGTTTCATCAATATTTATCTGATCTTGAATCAACGTTTGTTCGATTCATTGTTATACGTTCGAATTTATATTTCTAGTTAAGAACAACATCGAGAGGATTAATGATCGAGGAAATGTACAAACATTGTAGCTTCTATCTTCTCGTTTTGATTCGAAATCGACGTAAAGATAATTGCCTTGCTTTATAAACAGATTAAAAAGCACTGTAGTTCGCAACAATGTTCCTACATTGCGTTAGAAATAAAGCTTTACGTTTTTAATTGTGCGACGCTCTCGTCGGAAAAACGTGGAATTTAATTTCATAAGGAAATACTATGTCATTTCATCGGGTATTTTCTTTGAAAATAAATTCTGTAGCAAAAGTTAATCCTTCCTCTGATTTGCTTCGTTGATATGGCTTCCTAGATTGATATTTTCATTTTCCTTTATAACTCTGAAGGAAAACTGACGACGTATTTCCCTTGCAGATTCTTGAAATAACTCAGTTGTTTCATTGCGAGTACTAAATGTTGCGATTTTATTTATTTTCTTAATGAAAAACTTGACCTATCTTAACTCTTAACTTAACCTAGCTTGATCGTAATTAAATGTTTGTCTAATTTAACCTACCACAACATGAGATAATGCAAATTTTTTACGTTATATCGCCAAGTGTTGTGTCTCCACGCGTTATATCGTCCAGCATAGCATTTCCGCACGTAGTATCGTCTAGCGTTATAATTACACGCATTATCGACAAGCCTAGAATTACTATGTGCTATGTCGGCAAATATAGTATCTCCATGCGTTATATCACCAAGTGTAATATTTCTACGCGTTGTATCGTCAAGTGTAGAATTTCTATGTGTTATATTGTACAACGTAATACCTCCACGCGTTATATTGCCAAAAGTATCTCATCGGATTATATTGCCAAGCATAATATCTCTTCGAATTATATTACTAAGCATAATACCTCCACGCGTTATATTGCTAAACGTAATATCTCCTCGCATTATATTGCTAAGCGTAGTATCTCCTCGAATTATATTACCAAGCGTAATACCTCCTCGCGTTATATCACCAAGTTCAGTATCTCCTCGTGTTATATCGCCAAGCGTAAAATTTCCAAGCGTTAGATCACTAAGCGTAGTATCTCTTCACATTAGATTATCAAGAATAGAATTTCCAAGCGTTAGATCACCAAGCGTAGAATGTCCACGCGTTATATCGCCAGCTGTGGAGTTTCCGCGCGTTATATCGCCAAGTGTAGAATTCTCACGCGTTATATCCCCAAGTGTAGAATTCTCACGCATTATATCGCCAAGTGTAGAATTTTCACGCGTTATATCGCCAAGTGTAGAATTTCCACGCGTTATATCGCCGAGTGTAAAATTTCCACGCGTTGTATCGCCGAGTGTAGAATTTCCACGCGTTATATCGCCAAGTGTAGAATTCTCACGCGTTATATCCCCAAGTGTAGAATTCTCACGAATTATATCGCCAAGTGTAGAATTTTCACGCGTTATATCGCCAACTGTGGAATTTTCGCGCGTTATATTGCCAAGTGCAGAGTTTCCACGCGTTATATCGCCAAAAACAGTATTCCTCCACATAACATTATACAGAGCAAAATTTTCACGCATTATATCGCCAAAAATAATATCTCTATGCATTTCACCGCTATAGAGTCTTGACGCGTTATATCACATAGTGTCTGAACGTGAAATATCGCCACGCGTTAAAAAACCTGGCGTACCTTTCAAATCTCAAGTATCTCTATTCAAGCTACATCCGTAATTTGATCAAACGTTAAAATAAAATCGAAACTTCCGTCTTCTGGCAGGACCTTTTTACAATTTTCTCGATCGTATAAAATTGTACTCCCGACAAAGGGTCCTTTCGCTCGACTATCGCCGCGCCACTTTTTTCCCTTCTATCGAGCAAAAGACGCTTCGGAATGCCAATAGAGTTTTTCTGGTGTAATTTCCTAAAGTGTTTCGGCTTGAATTAAAATTTCTCTATGGTCGATGGTCGCTTCGAGGACCGGTGAGAAGTTCGCGCTCGTTTTCACGGAATCACTTGTATATTCAGAAATATTCGTGTGCAATTGTTCGCGAGCCGCTTTGCCACAGCATCGAACGGTCTGGTATTAGCAGAACTTTTGCGAGCGTTCGATGACACTTGGCGGCGATTTGTGTCAACGACGCCGTTGTTACTTCGATTCGAGATCCTTCTTTCCCATTCAGAAATTCGGTGAGCCATTGTCACGATTGTCGAACACAAGTTCTGCCGCGAAGATTCTGCAAATAACGCGCTCTTCGAAAACCATGTTCGTTCGTTGAATAGCATTTGATGCGTCGTTAACGTCCGAGTGTTAAATTTTATTTTTGTTTTCCTTTTGGGCTATTGTAAACGACATTAAATTGGAAATTTAATGATTGAAAAATTAGAAGTTAAAAACCGTTAATTAGAAAAATTCATCCATTGATAGAATTATTTACAATTGTAATTACTTATCGCTGTCCTAAATCATAATTGAATAGCGTGCATTGCTTGTACATGCATTCTCACTGTGCCATTTGGCACGTTAAAATCTCAGCAAAACGCAATAAATCAGTACTTCTGGTGGCTCTACTTATTCCTCAAGATTACAACAAACGAATCCATTCACGAAAAACACGAATCGAGGAAACAATAAATTTCAAAGATAAAACCTAAATACATTAGCAGCCACGAATGCTACTGATATACCGCAAAGACTTGTCACGAGAACTGCGCTCAAGAGAATTCCATTTGCAAAACACTAACAAAGAAAATGATTAATCGTAACGTCGGCATGATTGCACGTAAAATAATTCCGAATTTTTCACTAATGTAGCCTTCCGCTTTGAAAACAGCGATAGCCTTCGTACGAGAGTATTTCGTCAACGATACCGAACAAAACGGCCTGCCGTCTAGGGTCAAAGGCCAAAAACGAATCGAACGACGTGTAGAATGCTGCAATCTCGGACGATCGTGAAATCATGCTTGCCAAAGCCAGACCAAGCCGAATTAGACGTTTATACGCTCTCATTTCGCGAAAAACCCTACTCGGCTTGTTTCATGCATCATGCATGAATCGAATCTGGCGAAACATAGTACTACGTGTGTGACATATGTAATTTATTGCCGCTTCTTCGATCATGAAAGCAAGAAGGTCAGCGTGTTCTTTATTTTTAGCGATTTGATAACAAAGTTCAGAATTTCAGTTCGATTAAACAATTGAAGCTTAGAATCTGTTTGGTTCACAGAAATTTGAATTTTCAACTTTTTCTCAGAAGTTTCGAAATTTTTAAATTGTCACTGCCAAACATTTTTGGTATTATATAATTGCTCGCATGTATCTATTCATATATTTCCATTTAACAAATATTCACATTTTAGCCAAAATGTTAAATAAAATTTCAGTAGATGCCATCAGAAGAGGTTGCTCACATGTACCTACGTATCCATTCATATACTTCCCTTTAACAAATATTTACATTTTTGTAAAAATATTAAATAAAACTTAGACAGATACCATTGCTCACGTAAGCTATGGTGGTTTAATCTTCAGCAAGGATGGTCCTGCACCATCATCTTTCTTCATTTATTCCATGTTTTGAACTCCATTTACATTATATCACTCAATATTGTCGATTCACGATATTCCAAACGAAACGGAGCATCGTTTATCCATAAATTCTCGACCGGTAACCCCTCCGTTTCAGCGTTTCATTTCCTGATAAATGCATTCAAATAATTCCTTCGTCCTTCCCTCGTATTTACTCGTTATCTCCGTTGTAACTTAGCATCTCGATAAACATAACAACACGCCCTTACAATGAACCGGAGAATTTGCATAAAGCCATCTGTCCTCTGTTCATTCGCTTCCCAGTTTCGCTTCAAAGCGAATTCATCGTTCGAGAAAGGGGACAGAGACTCGTGAGACGAATCCACTCGATTTAAATGAATCAACATCGAGAAGAGCAACGTCGATGAATTCCCTCTTTTACAGTCGCTCCTCTCGCTCGACTCGATCATTTAATTATCTCGTCGTCGAGCACCTAACCTTGTCATTAAGAAATCGAACGAGTGACCACCGTGGAACTGCACTGAAGTTTATTTTTTTCTCACTTTTCTACGGTTCCTCTGTAACCGATCGTTTTTTCTTTCTTTTCTACGAGTCTTTGTCCCCTGCGAGCGAGATCTTTGCCCTGCACACCCTCGTGAAAGCGGGTCAACGACAAAGAACTCGTCGCTCATGTCCTTAATCCTATTATTGGATTTTTGAGGACGTCCCGTCACTATTCTCCCGTTTTTTTCTCTCTTATGCACGCGTCTACACACTCTCGTTTCTTTCTTCCCTCTCCCTCTTTCTTCCCTTCCCGTTCCCTGCCCTGATAACCGATAAATGCTTCGAGCTGTTTACATCGGCCGCAACAACTGCAGCCGAACAAACTCTCTTTTCACCGATAACACGTCTCATGATTTATGAACGCTGATAACGGCCACGGTATAATGCGATGCACTGCGAGGCCAGTGTCTTGTAAACGCACCCGTTATCGGCCAGAAGACATCTGGACGGTGATCGACCAAACGTTCGAATCACGTGCTAACAAGAAATGTAAATTCGAGTATTACGTGGCTGCTCGAGGGTAATGTTCAATCTTCGTCCACCGTATTCGTTACTGTATCGAAACAAGTTTCGACGAAAAACGACTGCGAGGGTTAACACCACCCTTAACACTGGGTTTATGGGACGCGCCATTTTGACGCATTTCGAATTTATTTAGGAAAATATATGTACATATATCTTTAAATATATGTATTCGTTCATGCGTCAAATTCACGCGTGTTCGTAGAGATAGGTTCATAAGAAATGTCCGTAAATCTAGTGTTAACGATATACCTGTCTTATTTGCTTTCGGCTAAACGTTTTTCCGATGTTCTCGTTCCAGGTGGTTTTCTCGGTGACATCGCTCTGCCAAATATCAAATACGAGACAGAATGGCGACAGCAAAAGCTCAACAAGAGTTACCTCGAAGAATTGGAGAAGTATCGGGACGAGGTACTAAAGGAGGGTCTTCAGGTCGAAGAAGAGGGTCTTACGGGTAAAAAACATTTTGCTTTTAACCGGGAAAACGTGGCACCCTCCTCTAGATTTTATCTCCTCGCAAACGTCCAAGTCTCGTTCGTTGACGTGCATGTACGTGTAGATGTCCGTGCGTGTGGTGTTAGCGACAGGTGTCGTTTCAGAGATCCTTCAATTTAAAAATGAGCACGACGCTAACGAGGCGCATCAGGAGAACGAGGAGATCGTGGCTTCTCAAGAGAAATCCGAACCAATTATGGTGGACCGGAATCAATACAGCATGGACGGCGAGCTCGAGGGTGGATTCAGTTTTAAAGCGAGGAACGACGATGTCAAGCCTGGTGTCAGGGACGAAGGAGTCGAATTCAGGTAAAATTACTAGGAATGTTCACGATGGGTGGTCCAATAATCGTAGGCAGAAGAAATAATTTTTGTACGAATGAGTTGAGAATTTGGAAATTTGGGAAATTTAGAATTTTGCAAATTTTGGAAGGAGGGAAAGAGACTTGAAAATTTAGGGGTTTGAGAAATTCGGAAGATGGGAAATTTGGGACTTCACAAGTTTGAAAATCGAGAATTTGGGGATTTGGAAAATTTTGGGATTGGGGGTTTGGAAATTTAGAAATTTAGAAGCTTGAAAATCTGGGAATTGAGGAATTTGGGGATTTTGAAATTTGGGGATTCGGGGATTTGGGAATTTGGGAATTTGGAAATTTGG